CCTGGAACACCCCAAAATCCCGACTGGAGTGTCCCAAAATCCTGGCGGGAATGCCCCATCCCAAAAATCCCACCTGGAGTGCCCCCAAATCCCACCTGGAGTACCCCATTCCAAAATCCTGACTGGAATATCCCAAAATCCCACCTGGAACACCCCAAAATTCCACCTGGAACACCCCATCTCAAAATCCCCCAGATGGGGGAGGGGGGCCCTGCCCACGGAGGGGCCGTTGGGGCCCCAGGAAAAGCAAAGAATGAGGAATTGTTTTCCCTCGGAATTRTTTTCCCTCAGAATTTTTTCCCTTGGAATTGTTTTCCCTCCTTCCCCTCGGCGGGGCTGTGCCCAGGGCTCCGTGGGAAGCGGGGCACGGAAAATTGGGGATGGAGAATGGGATGGGAGCAGGATTAGGGTGAGGGCTGGGAACGGGATCGGGATGAACTCTGGGGCTGGGGGGATCCTGGAGATGGGAATGATGGTGGAATTTTGGGAATGATGGGGGAATCTTGAAACTGGAAATGATGGGAGGATCCTGGGAATGATGGGAGAATTTGGAACTGGGAATGATGGGGGAATCCTGGAGATGGGAGTGATGGGGAGATCCTGGAGATGGGAATGAACGGGGGATCCCGGAATTGGAAATGATGGGAGGATCCTGGGAATGATGGGGAAATTCTGGGAATGATGGGAGAATTTGGAACTGGGAATGATGGGGGAATCCTGGAGATGGGAGTGATGGGGGGATCCTGGAGATGGGAGTGATGGGGAAATTCTGGGAATGATGGGGGAACCCTGGGAATGACAGGGGAATTCTGGAGATGGGAACGAAGCAGGGATCATGGAGATGGGAATGATGGGAGAATCCTAGAAATGATGGGGGAATCCTGGCAATGACACAAGAAGCCCATGGCAGCGGCTCCAGAGTTCGGGGTGACCCTAAAGCCCCTTTTGATGACCCTGTAGGCCCTTTGGGGTGGCCCTAAAGCCCCTGTGGGGTGCCAGGAGCAAAGCTGAGCTCCCTGAGA